ATGCCCCGCGGGGGGGCGAGCTCGGAGGGGCCGGTGGCACATGCCCCGCGGGGGGGCGAGCTCGGAGGGGCCGGTGGCAGATGCCCCGTGGGGGGGCGAGCTCGGAGGGGCTGGCGCGGACAGCAGGCGCTGGGGCGGGGCGCACGGGGACAGAGAGGAGGGGCGGGAGGGGACGCGGCCGGTGGCTTAGGCGGTGTGGCTCGCCCGCCCCAGGCATGTCGGAGCGCGAGCGGCAGGTGATGAAGAGGCTGAAGGAGGTGGTGGACCAGCAGCGCGACGAGATCCGCGCCAAGGACAGGGAGCTGGGCCTGAAGAACGAGGATGTCGAGGCTGTAAGTGACGGGCCGCCCGCGGCCACCCTCCCGGCCAGTAGGTGCCAGCGGGGGACTCCGTCCTGCCCTCAGGACGTTCCCGTCTCCCCTCGGTCTCGTCCCGGGGGCCCCGTGTCTTGGCGGCCCGCCCTGCAACAGCAGCTGCGGGAGGACCCTCAGCCGGGGCTTCGCAGGAGGGCCTGTGGCACTGCCCCTGACCTGACTCCTTCCACAGCCCTGGGGAGGTCCCAAGGCCCGGCCAGCCTGTGCTCTGACCCCGAGGCCCCCTCCAGCCAACCCGCTTCATGCCCTCCGGGAGCAGGCCAGCATGTCCAGGCTGTTCCAGGAACCCATACGGTGTCTCTGCCTGAATTAGAAAAAGACACCGCTTTCTGATGACATGTTATTTCCATCTGTTGGAAAATTGTCATAATATACTAACAAGACACTTATCTTCCATCTGTCATAAATTATGATAGTAAATGTACAAATTGCCATCTCTGGCATCTACACCTATAAGAATATGAACAAATTTCAAGCAAATCAAGACGTCTGCAGTGTGAATGGCACACCTGTAGACGGTTTGCCCTTCTGCAGTGCACAGCATGAGCGGCTGTCGGTGGCAGCCCCGTACAATGGCCTTTCTCTCTCTCCAGCTACAGCAGCAGCAGACGCGGCTGATGAAGATCAACCACGACCTGCGGCACCGCGTCACGGTGGTGGAAGCCCAGGGGAAGGCCCTGATCGAGCAGAAGGTAGAACTGGAGGCAGATCTGCAGACCAAGGAGCAGGAGATGGGCAGCCTGCGGGCAGAGCTCGGGAAGCTGCGAGAGAGGCTGCAGGGCGAGCTCAGCCAGAACGGGGAGGGGGAACCCGAGGTGAGTGGGAAGCCGGCCGCAGAGGAGATGCAGGAGGGCGGTCTGTGGACCGGCTGACCTAGGCAGGGCTGCCTTATGTTCCCCAATACGCTGAAGGAAATGGGAGGCCCAGAGAGAGCAAGCCACTGGCTAGAGGACACACAGCTGGGTAGAGGCAGAGCTGGGCCTGGAACCCAGGACTCCAGCATTCTAGCCCAGGGTATCCAGCTCAGTGATGGTTACTCTGTACCTGCCATTCATTCATTCAAATAGTTTTTGACTATGTTGCAGGCTTGGGGGATAAAATGGAGAGCAAGATGCAGACCTGGTTCCTGTCCGAGTAGAGCTTCGAGTTTAGTACAGGAGACAGGCATTAGTCAGATAATCACACAACACCCTATCACCCCGCAGTTCCACGTTTAGGCAGATACCCAAGAGAACTGAACACGTCTCCACATAAAAACCTGTACACAAATGTCCACAGCAGCACTGTTCACGACAGGCGAAAGGTAGGAACAACCCAAGTGTCCGTCACTAGATGAATGGATAAACAGAATGTGGTCCATCCACACAGTGGAATATTATTCAGCCATAACAAGGAATGAAACACTGACACCTGCTACAACTTGGATGGACCTCAAAAACATGCTGAGTGAAAGGAGCCAACACAAAAGGCCACGTATCATGTGATTCCATTTACATGAAGTGTCGAGAGTCGGCAAATCCCTAGAGACAGAAGACAGATTGGTGGTTGCCAAGGCCTGGAGTGGGGGGAGCGTGGAGAGTGACTGCTAAAGGGGACAGAGTTGCTTTTAGGGTGATTAAAATGTTCTGGAATTGGATAGTGGTGATGGTTGCACAACTCTGCATGTTCTAAAAACCACTGAATTCTGTACTTTAAAAAGAGCAAATTTTGTGGTACGTGAGTTATATCTCAATTTGTTTTAAAAAGGTGATTCCTGCTAAAGGAGAGGCGTGGTGCCAGAGGCCCCGTAACGGAGGGAGGAGCCGTAGCGTGTAGCAACTGCACGGACTCCAGAGCCTGTCTGCTTTGGTTCAGATCTAGCCTGTTACTTACTATCTCCATGACCTGGGGTAAATTATTTAGCTTCTCTGTGCCTCAGTTTCCCTCATCTCTATAATGCGAATAATAATAACAGTACTTACCCCCAGAGTGTCATGAGAATTAAATGAGTTAGTTCATTAACAGTGTTAGCTTTAAATGTGGAAGGCAGATGTGCTGTTTCACACGGATAAAGCATTAGCTGTTGTTTTTATTACCTTGAAGTCTAGGGGAGTCCAAAAGGCTTCCCCAAGGAGGTGGTCAAAAGAATGAGCAAGAGTAAACTAGGTGAAGGGGAGGTGAGTTCCAGGCAGGGGGAATGGCATGTGCAAAGGCCCTGTGCCAGAACCAACTGCAGTGCCATCAAGAGAGTGTAAGAAGGCAAGGGTGGCTGGTGTGCAGCGTGAGGGGGAGGGAGAGGGTCTGAATGAGGTCAGAGAGGTGGGCGGGGGCCAATCCCGCAGGCCAGGCAGCCCATGGAGGGGAGTTTGGTCTTTTACCTGCGAGTGCGGTGCTGGGTGCTATGGAGGTTCAAGGAGCTTACAAGCCAGTGCAGGAGACAGACGGGCAGCAGCAGCCACGCGTCAGGCAGGAGGGGACTGTCTTAGTGGTAAGAAGTTGTGTTTGTCTGGGTTCCCTGGAAGCAGAGCTTGAGAAAAGGACCACATATAAAAGGAGGTTTCTCTGGGAGGTGATCCCCGAGATCAGAGGAGTGGGACAGGGAAGGAGGAAAGTGACTTTGAGGGTGTGTCCTTTATCCACAAGTGCCTCCCCAGTTGGCTGAGGGTGCCCCCGAGGGTGTTACCTCCCCGACCCTCCTGGGCAGAACTTGCGGAGCAGATCCCAGGGCAGAAACGGACAGACCTACGGTGCGTGCTTGGGCCGGGGCCCTGCTCACGTGGACGGAACTGCACCACAGCTGCCGCGGAAATCCGGGCAGGCCCCGGGCGGTGGCACGGGGCGCTGGGGGCGTCTGCCTCGTAAATGTGTCCTGGAGTGTGCCAGGAACACAGAGCTAGGGCAGCTAACCCTGATGGGGGTGGCGTGGAGTGTTGTGGAAGAACTGTTCCTCCAGCTGGGTGTCAGTGTTGATGGTGCTGAGAATTTGATAGGTAGCCGCAGAAGATGTGCATACTGTTGCAAAAAGGTGTGTGAGTGTGCGGGACAGGCGCAGGGCTTGCTCCTTCCTCCAACCAGTATTGACTGTTTCAGGTTAGCAGGCACTGTGCTGGTCTCCTGGGTTACAGGTGGGGGAGGTAAGACAGATGAGCCCGCCATCGGGTTGGCTCAAGTCCCAGATAGTCATTAAGTGTCTTGTGAATTCAGGCCAGACACTTCTAGGTTCTCTGAAGGACAGGAACCTGGGATACAGATAAGGAGATAAGGGAGAGAAGTCGCAAAAGGGAGAGGTTAGAGCCTGCTTTTGGCTAAAAGTGACAGAAGCCTAAGTTAAAATCATTTAAGGATTTTTGAAAAAGGAATTTTTTGTCTGTATAACTGAAAGCTTTGAGATAGTGATGGCTTCAGGTATAGCTGGTTCCAGGTGCCCAAATGATGCTATCAGGAATTTGTTTCAGACCTTCTCTCAGCTTTGCTTTCCTCTATGTTGGTGTCATTCTCAAGCAGGCTCTTGCCAAATAGTGGCCCTGGGTACTCGACCAGCTTTGTAACCCCGGTGGAAAGAAATTGCCTCTTTCCCAAGTGTCCAGTGGAAGTCTCAGGGAACCCTCTCATTGGCCTATCACTGAACCAATCATTGTGGCCTGAGGTCTTGAATATGCATATCTTCTAGTCCTGAGTCACACGTCTACCCCTGGTAGTGCCCATCGAAGCCCCATGCACGGAAAGTGGCAAAGGGGAGTTTCTCCAAAGGAAAATTGCAACGACCCAGCCCAGAGAAGTGTGGGAACAGATGCAAGCCAGGCAGAGGAACAGCTGTCATTACAGGGCCAGAGTGAGGGCTGAGAATGCCACATGCAAGACTCTGAGCAGAGAGGGATGTGGATCCTTCACAGGGTTTCAGCGGGGGGTGACAGGATCGCTCTGAGTTCACGGAGGACAGTTTGAACGGGGAAGGAGCTGATGGCCGACGTGACTGTCGGGAGCCCTTTGCAATAATCTATACAGGAAAGGTGAGGGCTGGACCAAGTCTATGGCAGTAGGATGCAGGGGAGGAGGCAGATGCTAAAGACAGCCACTGGGTGAATCTTGGGGTGGTCGCCCCCTCCTCCCTCAGCATACCCCTCCCAGCCTCCTGGGCCCCACCAGAGCTCAGGCCTCTCTCCTCCTGGGCTGGCGGGCCCGGTCCCGACCTGGTCCTGAGGCTGTCACCCCAGCCACAAGACTGACCCCTGCTCCAGTTCTCTTTAGCATCAGGGACCAAGGACATTTCACACCTCCTTGGCCTGACTGCCTGTCGGTTTCACTTTCCCTTTCTGGCACCGAGGGGGCAGGACAGAAATGGGCCGTAAACTCGGGTAACAGTAATGACTAACCCGCTGAGCGTCTTTGCAGTGTCTGTTCCCAAACCCAGGGCGTCTCTGCTGGGTTTGACTCCGTCCCTCGGAGCTGCGTGGAGTTCAGGGTGCTCGTCAGTCGAACAGTGAAGCTGCAGGTTGTGGTGGCTTCACCACCTGCTGCCGGGTGACCTGGGGCCCGTCCGTCTCTTTGGTGGTCAGTTTCCGATCGGACAAGTGAGGGGAAGGAGCTTCACTTGATTCAGTAGGTGCAGTAGTTAGTGCGGCTGGGACAGAGGGCCGGGGGATCGGAGGAGGGCACAGTGAATTCTGAGTCAAAGGCGAGGGTGGGCAGGCCTTCAAAGCATTGAGACGGGTCTCGTGGGGTGGGTAGGTTGGCCAGGCGTGGAATGTGGGGCAGGCCACTCCAGGGTGGGGAACAGCATGAGCCAGACTGGAGGACGAGCAGGGTGTGGCTGGCGTGGAGGGTTAGTCCTGGCACAGGATGGGGCAGGGGAGGTGGGAGCTATGGAGGGATCCAGAGCCGAGGAGGAATCGGTTCTCATCATTGTCTCGGTCACTCTGAGTTTCCCCCTTGATTCATACGATCCTTTCTGAGCTGTGCCACTGTCACGTCAGCATGAGCTCCGGTACACAGAGCTCCTTATATATTTTTATAACATATTTATTGAGATATAATTCACACGCCATACAATTCAACCATTTAAAATGTACTACTCAATGGTTTTTAGTATATTCACTGTATTGTGCCATCATCATCACTATCTAGGACGTTTCCATCACCCCAGAAAAGAAACCCCATACCCATTAGCAGTCACTCCCCACCTCCCCCTCCCCAGCCCCTGGCCACCGCTAATCTACTCTCTGTCTCTATGGATCTTCCTACTCGGGACATTTCATAGAAATGGAATCATCATGTGGTCCTGACTGGCTTCCTCACTCAGCATGTTTTCTAGTTCATCCCGCTCCTCATATTTTAACTCAAGGTTTCCTGCCTTTCACAATTAGACATATAAACCCTTAAGAAAATGAAGCAGACTCCCTGTCTCAAGGACTTGCTATAAAATTAAGACAACTGTAAAGTTCGTAGTTACCTCCTTGATGTCTCTGCCTTCAGTGAGTTCTGATTTCAGTAAGTTTTGTTGTGGGTTTTTAGGTGAGGGCTCCCTGCACAGGGAAGGCAGATGGGCCTGATGGCTGGATGTGAAGCGGGGTTTTCGGGCTGAATTCCTGCATGGTGGGCCAGGAGATACCAAGGGTAACCAGAGCATGGTCATTCCCCTTTGCTGGGCCAAGGGCTGCTCAGAAGTATGTTCAGGGGTTGCGGGAGCACAGGAAGTGGCTTTGATGTGCCCAGATAGCGAGGAGCATGCCCAGGAGGCCCGGCCTCGGGTTGGAGGGCCCCGATGGAGGATGTCGCCTCCCTAAGGCCTCTCTGGACAGGCCCCAGTGCTTGTTGGCTGGTCTCTTGGGCCTCCCTAGAGAGCAGCTGGGGCCTCGGGGCATCTCCCTCAAGCTGTGCCCAGAGTGTCTCAGGGGACCAGCGGACAATCCTCGATAACCCAGCCACCTCCGCGCCCCCTCATGGAGTAAGCCTGCAAGGCTCGCTGCTGGTCGATCCCGATTGTCATCTTGGGAAGAGCCTTGGCAGTCTCTCTCGGGCTGGACGGGCCAGTCCTGGGCTGCCCACAGCGCTGCATCAGTGCCTGGTGGCCTCTGGAAAAGCCGGAGCCCCCAGCTTTCCCTCTTCTGCACTTAGGCAATGGTCCCGGGTGTCAGGACTTTTCTGCACACCTGTCTGAAAATCCCCCAAGCTCTACGGGGATCAGGTCGCTTCCCCAATGAAAGACCTGTCTCTTCTCCGGAGAAAAAGCACTCAGGTTCTGGGAAGCCCTTTGGTGTCTTGGGCAATTACTACCCATCAGGGGTGAGTCAGGAACTGCTGGGGCTTGGAAGCACATGTTCATAGGAGTCCCAGATGTCTGGGCGGGAAGGCCATTGAGGACAGATGAGGAAGTGGAGGCCCAGAGAGGAGCAGGCAGCTTGCCCACAGGTCTCTTGGGAAGTGAGGCATGGGAAGCCCCTTGAAGGGCTTTACGCCTTCCTCAGGGCGTGTGGACCCCTGTCAGAGGGCGCCTCTCAGAGACACCGGGAGGCAGGGACTTGCTCCTCTGAATGGTAGGGCCTAAGTTGTCTGGGGAGGGAGGGGCTGGAGGGAGTGTGAGAGTCTGAGATTTGGGTCCATGGCAGGAGCCACTGATGCCTGTGGGGTCCAGGCAGGGAAGGAAAAAGGGGTGAGGAGTGGGCAGCCATGGAAAGAGCACATAAAAGGGAGCAGCTGCTACACAGCACCAGCCCAGTGTTGCCATGGGGGCCCAGGGTGATCTGATCTTTCAATTTTTTTCCAAAAGGAAGCCCAAAACCCAAACTTTAATGTGAAATCTCCTGATCTAAAATAGTTGGCAGCTAATTCAAAAGAATTTTAGAATGCGGTGAGGGCCATACACAATGGCGGGGCAGGGGGGATGTTGGCTGGGGTAAGCCCAGAGTTCCTGGTGAACTCCTACACATTCGTCAAGACCCCATGCAGAGAGACCACATCTGCAGTGACGTCTTCCGTGGTCCTCCCCAGTTAGGTTGATGTCCCTGCACCTCTTTGATTATATTACCTTGTAAGTTTCTATTTGTGTGTCTCTTCCCTCCACCCCTACCTGTCTGGCTCATCTCCTGAGCTCAGCGACCAGCAGGCACAAAGTTGATGCTCAACAAATATTAGACATCCAGGGATGCTCTGTGGGTAACTTGGGCGGGAGAGGGAAGGGAATTGCCCTTAGTGAGTGCCCGCTGTGTACCAGGCACTTTCTACACATGGTCTTGGGGAGAGGACACCGTCCTAGTGTGAGGCTGTCGGGTGGTCCCAGGAGCAGCCCCGAAGGCTCTGCAGAGGGAATTGGACACTGAAGCTGTACGCTGAGGACACAGCCCACCTGAAGGTGGCGTCAGCAGACGCCTAGAATACCTTCTTGGGAAGTTAAATCCTCCAGCATTTGCTCCCCTTGTTCTCGGGTGGGAAGAGGCCCCCCTCTGCTGCCCAGATGGCTGGGGGGCGGCGTGCGCCAGGAGTCGGTTTCCTGCTGCATGAGGTGCCTCCCCTGCTGCCCGCCACTCCGTGCTGACTCCTGGTCAAACTTCCTTCCCCCGCCCGCCCGCGACGGCTGGCTCTTCTGTCACCTGATCTTCCCTGGTGGGTGGTGTCTGCTTTCAAGTGTCCTTTCCCAGAACAGCCTGTCCTGACTGTCCTGGGATGCGAGGCATCTCGGCTCTGCCTTCTGATTCAGCATCATTCAGCATCCTGGCCTTGTGTCACCCGTCTAGGCCGAGACCCTCCATGTGCCGCTCTGGGGTTTTTTGGTTTTGGGGAGTCTCTGTTTCAATCCCTCATTCCCCTGTTCCAGAGTTTTTTCCACTGTTGTCCCGAGCTTCTGTCCACTCCCCCTAGCCGATCATGGGATGTTGGCAGCTCGGGTGTGGGGAACACTGCACCGCCTGCAGAGAAGGGGACACCTGCAGATTTGGCCGGCTGACTTGGAGGCAGCCTGCAAAATCTTCCTTGCTATCAAAAAAATGGAAGAAAAACAAGTGTTGACAAGGATGTGGAGAATGTGGAACCCTCCTCCACTGCTGGCAGGAATGTAAAAGGGGGCAGCCGCTGTGGAAAACAGATGGGCAGGTCCTCAAAGAGTTAAACATAGACTGACCGTATGACCCAGCAGTTCCACTCCTAGATTTTGACCCCAAAGAATTGAAAACAGATGTTCAGACAAATCCTTGTACAGGAATGTTCATGGCAGCATCATTCACAAGAGCCAAAAGGTGGAAACCACCCAGACGCCCATCGATGGATAAAAGGATAAACAAAATGGTCCATCCATGCAGGGGAACATGATTTGGCCATGAAGAGGAATGAAGCACTGACACCTGCTACGATGTAGATGAACCTCGAAAATATGATGCTGAGTGAAAGAAGCCGGATACAAAAGGCCACATGTTGTGTGATTCCATTTATAGGAAATGTCCAGAAAAGACGAATCCATAGAGATGGAAAGCCAATGATGGTTGCCAGGGGCTGGGAGTAGGGAGAATGGGGAGTGACTGCTAATGGGTACAGGGTTTCCTTTTAGGGTGATGAAAAAGTTTTGGAACTAGATAGAGGTGGTAGTTACATAACATTGTGAATGTGCTAAACCCCACTGAATTGTATATTTTTAAATGGTTAAAATGGCAAATTTTATGTTAAGTGTATTTTACCCCAATTTTTTTTAAAAAGCTCCTTGCCATGGAAGAGGGTGGGAGGACGGGGTTGGGGTCTGGCCTGGAGCAGGTGGCTTAGTATCCTAGGATCGGTCTGTGTGACCTGCATGGGGAGAAGTGCCCTGTGTGTGAACCCCTGCTGTGATGTTGCACCCCCCCACCCCTCCATCGGGGCATCCACTGAACTCCGGTGAAAAGATGCCCAGAGCCACTGGGGAGGGATGGGCTTGACCAGAAGGCCGGGAACAAATGGGAAAATGTATATGACCTAACATCAAATGAAAAAGGAACAGAGAATTGTGGGTAGGCTCTGATGCCAGTGACTTGGGCCAAATTAACAAAGGTCTTACTGAGAATATGAGGAGAGAACATGGGAATGGGAAAGCGGGCCAGTTTATGAGGTGGCATCCTTGGGGGCACGATGTTTCTTCTCCTTGGTTGCCTTTTAATGCTGTTGGTAATGAAACCCTGAGTTGGGTGGAGAGACACCAGGCCCGCAGGTCCGGCTGTTGAGGAGGCAAACAATGAACAGGTGGCCGCTGGCTTCTCTCTCCGGAGGGACGCCGACTGCGCGGCACGTGAGCAGGGGCCGCCTGCGAGTTCTTAAAATAGCGCCCTTGGCAAGCTGCTAAGGCCCCGGGAGGGTGGGAAATTCGGGCTCTGGCAGGATGCGGAGTGGGTGCTGGCGGTGGCCGCCAGGAATTCATTAGCAGCATCTCGCCTCCTCCAGACGGAGCCGGGCGGCGAGGAGAGTGTCTCAGAGGCGGAGAAGGCGGCCGTGGATCTCAAGGACCCCAACCGCCCCCGCTTCACGCTGCAGGAGCTGCGGGACGTGCTGCACGAGAGGAACGAGCTCAAGTCCAAGGTGTTTCTGTTGCAGGAGGAGCTGGCGTACTATAAGAGGTGAGAGTCCCCGCGAGCCCCCAGGCCGGCTCCTGTCTGGGGTCGTGCGGAGTTTGGGGACAGTTAGCTCCTAGAAGACAAGACTGCATCTCTGTCCATTCTGGGGAACCCTCTCGGGCCTGAAGCACTTACGTACAAGCTCACGATCCCTTCGGAAACTCTTGGGCCCAGGTGCACTTTATAACTCAGAACTTTCCAGCTGTTAGGAAGGAATATTACGCATACTGTGTGTTACACCACCAGCGAGGTCAGGGCAGCTCCCCGACATCAAACACGTGAATATTTTTGTAGTGAAAGACATGACCATTCATACTAAATGGGATAAATAAAGATGATAAACAGTGAGAATTCATTTCAGGTTTTGCCACCAAATGAATGACCAAGAAATGAATTTTAGAGCTTTTTGGATTTTGGAATTGCAGATAAGAGATGGTGGGGCTGTACAGCCTAAGTGTTTGCTCATTCAGTCCAAGGCCAATGAACTCCTTACACCTATTAGAGCTGTGCTGCCTGATATGGTATCCTCTAGCCATGTGGTTATTTAAATTTAAATGAGTTAAATTAAAATGAAATTTAAAATTCAGTTTCTCAGTTGCACTGGCCACATTTCAAGTGCTCAGTAGGCACTTGTGGTTAATGGCTGCCATGTGGACAGTGCAGATAGAGAGTATTTCCATCATGATGGAAGGTGCTATGGACAGCGCTGCTCCTGACAGACCACCATCTCACACCATGCCACCTCATACTCGTTTAGCTTCGTGCACACTGCCCTTCTATGGGTCCCTCAAAACACTCCATGCTTGTTTCTACCTCAGGACCTTTGCACATGCTGCTCCTGCAGCTGGGAAAATATTCCTGGTCATTCAGGGTTCAAGTCAGATGTCACCTGCTAAGAGAGGCCTTCCTTCCCCATCACCACCCATCCAAAGGAGCACCCTGTCCAAGTCACTACCACTCTACCCAGTTCTACTTTCTTCGTAGCCCTCTTTACCATCTCACATTAACCCTGTTCGTTAATGTGCTTGTTTTGTTGTCTGTTTCCATGCCAGACTGTAACAACATGAGACCAGAAACTGTATTTGTCTTATTCATGACTATGTTCCCAACACCTAGAACAGAGCTTAGCGCCGAGTAGGTGTATAAGTATCTGTTGAATGGAAAGCCGGAAGGAAGGACAGACGCACCAGATGTGGTCCCTGCTCCAGGAGGGAAGATGAGAGATGCACAGAAAATACAATGCCACATATTTTTATTGAAAACCCCCTGTGTGCCTGGCACATAAGAAAGTTTTACTGATACTGTGCACACTGGCTGTTCAGAGAAGGGAGAGATCACTTCTGCTTGGGGATGGGGTAGAAATCAGGAAGGCTTCCTGGAGGAGGTAGCATTTGAACTGGGCCTTCCCTAAAGGAGATGGTACTATTCAGGTGGGGGAGATGTTGAAGGGTGGGTGGCATATTCCAGGTGGAAGAAACCGAAGGTGTGGAGACAGCATTTAACATGGACAGGAAACAGGAAGTAGTTTTATTTGGCTGGAATCTTCAAAGGAAACTGAAAATAGAGATGTGGGTCCCTTTCCTGAAATTCCTCACATTTGACCAGCTGGGCCAAAGAGACCACAGGCACCTGTGTCCATTTCCTCCAGGGCTGACCCCTCCTTTTAACTGGCCATGCCCATCACTAAGAGGCCCCCCAGGTAGAGAAACTATTGGGGCAGAAGCCACTGTTGCCATCTTGCTGGGTCCCCTGATTCCCACTCCTCTGAAAAAGTACAAGTCCTCTCAGGCCATCAGACAATACCCTTCTGGAATATTCCAGCTCTCACGGAATTTTTGACTCTTTTATCTTGCGCCTCTCAACTCCTTCCAGTGAAGAAACAGAAGAGGAAAATCGAATACCCCAGCCTCCACCCATCGCGCACCCGAGAATGTCCCCCCAGCCGGAGTCTGGGATCAAGCGACTGTAAGTGATGACTTCCGGGTGTGGGGCTGCTCGCTCACAGCTGACCTGGTGGTTCACATGCCCTCTGACTTCACCTCCTGGGCACCTGCTCCAGGGCAGGCTTGTCACTAACCATCTCCCGCTGAGACGTGCCTAATCCCGGAGCACGTTGGGCCTGGCCCCTGACTTGGAGTTCATCTCTCTGTCTGAATGCTGAGTTCCTCCCGGGCCCCCTGGGCAGAGAGGGAGGGGGTGGGAAGCGGGCAGGGCCTGTGGCTGACGCTCAGGGCTGGCTTCAGTGTATCAGATGGGGTGTGTCCCTGGCTCTTTGAGGATGGCAGAGAAGGCGTGGGGGGGGAGGTTTGTGCATTTTAAGAGCTGGAAACCCCAGCTTCCAGGTATCTGGAATGGTCCTGGGCCTGCCCCATCTTTGCATTTCTGTGATGACTCCTCCAGCTCTCCCTCAGTCTCTCCGTTAGTATTTATTGGTGCATAATACATGCAGAGTCAGGCCCTGGTTGCTGTGGGGGACACACAAGAAAGAGAGCAGCCCAGTCCTTCCCCTCTCCTAGACTTGAAGCTACGTCAGTGGTTCTCTGCGACCCCTTTGAGACTGATGAGAGTTTGCAGACCCTTTCTCTGGGGAAAAAAAACCACATACAATTTCAGGTTCATTGATCCCTGCAGCCCTTCGGATACAGGGTTAAAACCTCTGGTCTAGTTAGCTAATAGCTACTAAGAACCTACTGTGTGCCGGGTAGTGTTCCTGCAGACTACCTCACTGAGTCCTCCCGCAGCCCTTTGAGGTGGAGACACTGTTGTTGCCATTTTACAGTTAAGGAAGCTGAGGCCCCGAGGTCAATCACCCGCCAAGGGTCGTACAGCTAATAAGAGGCAGAGCCAGGGTTCGAACCCAGGCAGCCTGGCCCCAGAGCCCGCATTTTAAACTCTGCAGAATCGCCTCGTGCTCACACCGTTGTCTTGTAGCCTTGTTATCTCCCCTGAGAGGGTCCTCCTGGCTCTCAGCCTTCCAGCTGTACCCCAGGCTGCTTACAGAGGAAGCCTAGGTTCTTCCCCCCAAACCCTGGCAGAAGCTCTGTGAAAGCAAGTGGCGTGGGTTGGAAAGGCACCGAGAGTGTGGGGGCCAGGAACTGGGGTGTTACTCGGAGGCCACAACCTAGAAACTCCGGTTATGGTTGGAAGTTCTTGGCTAGTTCTCATGCCGTGAATTGACTGGATGCTCAGCGTTGGTGGACAGGAAGGGGAATGTGAAATGTGTGCAGCCTTGAAACTGCCGGGCCCTCTGCTCTTGGAAAAAGGTGACTTGTTGAGATTCTGGGCCCTGGTGGCCGCAGGAAGGCCAGCTGCCCCCTGGAGTGTGCAGGGGGTGGCTCCTTTTCAAGCCTCTTGCAGCTTCACATAGCTTATTTGCTTGGCCCTCGATCTCTGCTGGATTTGTAATGGGGTGTGGTCCCCAGTTCTGGTTAGGGATAAATATTTCCTAGGGAGAAGCTTAGAACCAGAAAGGCTTCCTCTGGATCCCAACACCGTCTTGGCCACATATTGGATAGTGATCTTCCATTGGCAATTAAGACTCCATTCAAAGTAACTTAAGAAAAATGGTTGGCGGGGCAGCCCGGTAGCACAGCGGTTAAGTGCACGCGCTCCACTTTGGCGGCCCGGGGTTCGCAGGTTCGGATCCCAGGCACGCACCGATGCACTGCTTGTCAAGCCATGCTGTGGCAGCGACGTCCCGTATAAAGTAGAGGAAGATGGGCAAGGATGTTAGCCCAGGGCCAATCTTCCTCAGCAAAAAGAGGAGGATTGGCATTGGATGTTAGCTCAGGGCTGATCTTCCTCACAAAAAAATAAATAAATAAAGTTAAAAAAAAAAATTGTTGGCTAAGTAACCAAAAATTCCCAGGTCACCCTGGCTTCAAGCTCAGCTGGATCCAGGCCTTGTCATCAGGGCTCTGCCTCCTTCCCTCTACCTCTGACTTGGTTTTATTTTCTGTAGGCTGTATTCTTGTGCACGCTCTCCCCTCATGGTGGCAATATAGCAGCCATCAGCTCAGGCGTCTGCTTTCTTCTGTCTGAAACTCCAGTAGGAAGAGAGAATCTTCCACAGAAATCACAAGGCCAGGTCTCACTGGCTCTGACTGGGTCATATGACAGCCCCTGAGCCAATCACAGGGCAGTGCATCGATGGGTCAGGTCTCATTCTCAATCCTGAAGCATCCAGTTCACATGGGCTGAAATTAGGGGAGGGACAGGCTCCAAGCAAGATCAGAGTGCTGAGCAGACGGACGTAAGGGGTGGCCCCTGGAGCCTCATCTTGGGGGCGAGGGAGCCCTTCCATCTCCATTCCGTGATGTACTGAGTACCCAGGATAACTCTTACCCTTGGTTAGGGTTTCTCATCCACTGCGTGGTAGGAAATGGGATTGACTTTGATTGGACTCTGATTTACTACCAGCCCCACGCACATGGAAGGATGAGCAGAGTCGAGCTTGGGCTTCGATAGCTACGGCTTTGGGTTAAAACCTGGGGAAGTTGAGAAAAAGCTCATGAGCCCACACAGTCCCTCCCTGGGCTGAGGGAGAGGGGACAGAGGGCCGGTGTCTGCTTCCTCCAGCAGACCTTCATTCCCAGGTCTTTAGAAATCAGACCTTCTTAGCATCTTCACTTCAAGCGTGCTGCGTTTACAGCGCCTCCCGCACTGTAATTCTAAGCCACATGTAATTGTAAGGATTCCTTCTGAGGCTGGGTGGTTCTGACTTTTTAATTTTCCACTCCAGCCTCCTTTCTCTAAAACAGGTCATTACAAGTAGGTTTTTGCAAATCTCAAACTGGATAGAATCCAGAGGAAAGTTATCAAAATTAGCCAACCATCTTCTTTCCACTAGTTCTTCTACCCACACCTGAATAGGCTGTGGTGTCTGAACCTCTTTTCCAGATTGTTCCAGAAAGGACCCTGGGACTCTATTTTCAAAGCCCTTCCTCCCTTTAGTGTGGCCTCTGGTTGTCAGCCAGACCTGGGGCTCTGAGCCTGGCAGGAGAGGCAGCTGGAATTGGGGAGCCAGAGAGAGACAGACAGAAACAGAGAGCAAGACATAGAGACAGACAGAGAGAAAGGGAGAGAAATCAGAATCTCCCCTCCACGGGGTGCAGGTGGCCAGTTCTAGGGAATAACTGGAAGGTCAGACTGGCACAGAAGGCCTTTGACCAGTCCGGGCAGGACACTAGTCGCCTTTGTCCACCCCTGCGACATGCTGACTCGGAGCTCCATCAGTGCAGAGCCCAGAGCCTGGGGCGGGGACGATCTTCCCCGGGGCTGGGGCCGGGAATGGCAGTTCCTCAGATGGTTCCACGCCTGTCCCCCTTTCCCTCCTTCATTCCTCTGGCCCCCTTCTGGGTCTCTCTGGGCCCCTCGTCCTGGCTTTTGTGGGGTATTAGTCACACGGCCTCTTTAGTGCAGCTGACGCCTGCTTTCCGGCTCAGCTTCAAGCCCTTGACCAGTTTGCCCCACCCACCAATGAGTAAGCAACAATGACCTTGGTGCTTTGTCAGCGATTCAGAGCTGGGACAATTAGCCCCATTTCTCAGATGAGGAAACTGAGGCCCGGAGAAGCCCATGACTTCATTTCAATCATGCTGCTGGGAAGGGTCCAAGTCGGGATTGGAATCCACACCTTTCGTCTGCCACCTGGTGTGGCAGCCCCAGCTGTCTCGTCCTGCCTCCCTGTCCCCCTTTAACTCACTCCCCGAGTCACCAGCTGTGGGCTGACTGCCCAGTTCCCTTATCGCTCAAATGCACTACGAGCCAGAGACGCCAGAGTCTACACTTCTGGGCTGAACTGGGCAAGGGAACCAGAAGCTCCCCCTGCCAGTCAAAACAGTGTGCCCAGAAGACGTTCCAAGAATAGCTTGTGATCGAGCAGCTGCTGGCCAGAGAGTCCGCCTTGGCACTGCCGGGGAAGGTCATGAGGGAGCGCCTGAGTGACTCCAGCCTCGTCCCCAGTGGACGCCAGGCACCAGCGCCCCCTTTGTGTGGTCGCAGTCTTGGTCCCATGGATGCACACACAGCTGCCTTCTGGGCAGGGGCAGAGGGCTGCCCACGAGGCAGGAGGCAGGCCGTGGGTGCGGAAGGATGGCCAGGGAAGCTTCGGATCAGAACAGGTGGCCTTATACACCGGAAAGTCGGCCTTGGAGTAGGCGGCCACCCGACAGCACCTTCTGTCCCTGTCCTCCTGCCACCGCCCTCCTCGCTTCAGCCCAGAAATAGCTTCTTCACAGCCGCCCATCATACTGCCTGAAATGCCACTGTTAGAACTTCATTTGGTTTCAGTCTTCCAGAAATATTCGGCAGGGAGAGGGCAGTTAAAACCAGCTACACCCTGTCCAGGACATAAATGTTTGACCAAAAGAAGCCAGTCTTTTTTCATGGAGGTGGCTGTCCCTCCAGAGGAGGCAGCTTCTGCAGGGAGGCACCTGGAATAAATAGGGACGGAGAGGGACACAGACAGTAACTCAGCCAGAACCTTCCTAGTGTCCCAAGGCCCCTGATCGGGCCCCAAATGAAGTCCAGCATTTTAGGCAGGCAAACATCTCTCCAGGCAAAACGCCCACCCCATTGTCTGGCGCCATCTCCCACACAATGGCTGTGTCTTTGGGGGCTCCCTGTTATGCTAAGAGAGGGGTCCTGGTGAAGGTAGATGCAGAACCATGTGGCTTAGAGCCCCTGGAAAGCTCACAGTACCCACTAGCCTGGCCTCTGGGGATTGGGCCCGTTCATTTAGCAAAAGGTGTCCCCTCTTTTGATCGTCACCATGAGAAGCCATCCAGTGATTCTGCCAAGATGCCACTCCCAGCTACTCTGTGAAGTGCATCAAAGGTGATCCAAACACACAGAGTCCTCAAACCTCATTTGAGACAAGCCAGCCTCTAAAAAAAAAAAAATCAAAGCTGTTCGAAGTAAGCTGTGCCGGCTTGGTTGGAGTCTCTTCTTCATTTTCCTTGCCCAGCCAAGGGACCAGTGAGCATCGCCGTTGGCTCTGACTTACCCAAGAGGGTGGTCATGCAGCCTCTCTGCTTCAGTTCTCCTCCTGCCCGGCCCACTCCGGCTGCCTCACCCTCTCTCCCGGGCCCCCCGGCTGCCTCAGGGCATGGAGCCGACAGCCCACGGCAGTTGGGGGGACGTGCTGCAAGGGTGTCCCACTAACTCCCGCAGGTCAAGGTGAGGGCAGGGTCGGTGCCTTCTGAGGGCGTGAGCGAGAATCTGTTCCCTGTCTCTCCCCTAGTTTCTGGTGGTTTGCTGGCCATCCGTGGCCTCTGTTGGCTTCTAGAAGCATCACCCCATCTCTGCCTTCATCTTCACATGGTGTTCCTCCTGTGGGCTTGTCTGTGTCCAGATTCCCCCCTTTTATGAGGACCTGCCCTACTCCAATATAACTTCATCTTAACTAGTTACATCTACAAGGACCCCATCTCCAAATAAAGTCACGTTCTGAGGAACTGGGGGTTCAGATTCCAACATACGAATTTTGGGAGGGGACACAATTCCACCCATAGCACCTACTGTAAGCAAACCCTTCAGCTGGTCTGTTGTGGAGTGTGTTTATTTTCATGCCTCCCCAGTTTTTATCTTCTCTGTGTCTGTCTATACTTCTCTAACCAGGATCTTTACAGCCATAATGCCCATGGTAGCAGCTGGACTGATAATAGATGATCCCACACTGCAGCCTGTCCGACGACTTGTGTCCCTTGTAGGCACTGTGTTTTTGCGGTTTTGTTTGAGCTGTGCCTTTGGAATGTCTGCTGCGGCTGCTGCTGGGGCTGGCCTGTCTTCTTTGGCCACTTGAGCTGCATGGCCGTCACCTGCTTGTTCCCATGAAGTGGGTGTCGAGTGTGATTTCAGACATGCCACTCATGACGCTCGGTCTGCACGAGTGAAGCCTCGGAATTCTCAGCTCTGTCACCGATCATTCTTTTTGTCTCTTCTGTTTCTATTCTAAAACCACCTTGTCCATGATCCAGTAAAGAAGGTCCTTTAAGTGACGGGTCAGTAATCAACGCCCACTGTGACCCCCCCGGCCCCGAGTGACACTAACACTGTTTTTGATCTTCATGCCCTAGCTTTCTAAACCGCTGTGTTTTGCCCAGCCGTCGTCAGTAAGCCATTTGATCTTGTTGAAGAAAGGAAAAGCAGAGGAGGGGACGGATGTTTTGATTCTCTCTGTCCCTTGGATAGGAAGTGGCAAGTGGCTTTCCTGCTTGCTTAGTCAGGTAGAGGTGAGATGCAACAGTGATGCATTGCTGCTGTTTTTTTGGCCAGCTAATTGCCCTAATTACACTATGGGAAGAGCTCACAAATAACCCGCTATGACAAACATGCCTTCATCTGCCTGTACATATTATCTGTCATAGAGAAAAGAGACTTTAGCTGGTAGGGAGAATGTCTCCAGATAAACTTGGCTTGCCCCAGCTTCACGATGAAACACCACTTTATTCCTGGTAGGAAGTGATTGTAGGATCTAGTAACCACAGAAGAGGAAAATCACTTTCACCCAGATGTGATTAAAACTGAACTCCACAGGCCACAGCACTAAAAAAAAAAAAAAAAAAAAAGCTAATAGGTGAACAGACGGAGAGAACTAAAAATAGTTGATCTGAAGCTTCGATGTCTCGGTGGTTCATTCCTATTCCTGCTCCCAGGAAACATGACATGGCTATTATATCTCTTACCATGTTCAGAAACCAAAATTCAGGAGTGGGAGAACTTGGCAGGAATACAAAGAATCTTATCAGAGGCTGGGAGTGTCAAAGGGCAGTGGACAGCTTAGAAAGGGTTTTTGGGCAAGACTCATGGGGGGCCGGGTCAAGTTCACTGGCCAGGGTCCTAGTCTCCGTTGAGGTGGAGTTAAAACAGACCTTGTTTTCAGTGGGCCACTTTATAAGCTTTTGGCCTGTGATTTCTACCTTTATCTTTTAGACATCAGGTGTCTCGCTCTGATTAATCAATGATCAGTAGTCACAGCTGTGTTAAAAAGACATCTCGGTCTACAATAGCTGTCACCGTGTGGCTAGTTACAGGGATAACTTCTAAAGGCCGTCACCATTAAATCAGTTTTTGACACTCCAACTTGATGTTTCCCAAATTTCATTCAGATGCTACGTTCACAGTGTTTATCTAATCAGAGAATCATGTGTACTATTATTTACTTAAAATATTTTTTAATTGTCTCATTTTTCCTAAATACCTACATTTGCCTCATCCTAAGCAGTAATATCCATGAAATCTGGACTTTGATGTGCTATTTATCTAGTTTCCTGATTCATGTTAAATAGATACATAACTACTGAAATTAAAACCATTCATCTCTTTACATCAGAATCATCTTATATTCCATATGGCTTTCCAGTATTACTTTCTCTGCATCATTAGGGTCAAGAAACCCACAATGTATGTTTCCAGTAGCTTTTTCTTTCCTCTGCTGATGAGAAGAAATCCTCAGTAGCAGTTCAGGCGGGCGACATCACATCACATACGTGCAGGCCCTGTTCACACTGTCTTACCTCCAAGGGACTGTGACAATGATACGCAGAATCCCCTGCTGCTTTCTAGAATAACTTTGACCCGCACCCCAACTTATCCTTTCACACCTTGAATTGATTTGCTCCCTTCACGTTTGCTGCTCTCTGTCCCTGGCATTGCAAAAACCGTCAAGTGCACAGCAAAGGGCAGGCTCTCATTTCTTTCTTTCCTTTCCAAAAGGTTTAGCTTCTTCTCCCGAGATAAGAAGCGCCTGGCCAACACGCAGAGACACGTGCACATCCAGGAGTCCTTCGGCCAGTGGGCCAACTCCCACCGCGATGACGGTTACACAGAGCAAGGACAGGAGGCCCTGCAGCACCTGTGACCGTGGCCCACCTCTGCCCTTGGACCTGAACCACTCGCCGCCGGCGCCTGCAGCAGACCCTGCAGCCTCAGGTGTCACGACCTTGCACACCTCTCGGTTCAGACGCACCCTCAAAACTGATCCCTCAAACAAACTGTCTGCTTTGAGGAAGCACAATGACAAACTGATGCCAAACTCTAAAGAAACGTTTATTTATACCCAGGGCTATCACTGTTTGTAATAGATGACTCTGATCTCTTAGGATATATATTTAATAATACCATGAGTGGAGGCCAGACTTTTGCATTAACTTCAGTAACACAAGCTTCTTTAAGCCAAATACATCACTTGCCACTATAATTGCTGTTTGACTTGCTTTGTATGAAATTCTGTGTAGAGGTTTTATTATCATGTTTGTCGTACTGAAGTGGGAGGCAGGGAAGTGGTAGGTTTTCATTAGTTATGTTCATCAGTTCATGAAATTGTCGTGGTGGTAGCATAATATATGGGATGCATCGATTGGATAAGCAGGGCCTGTGAAGTCACAGGACGAGCTGGCCCGGCGCAGACACAAAGCAACAGAAAATATGGACAACAATCCTCCCACCCAGAAACTGGAGACAACTCTGCAAGAGCTGGTGGTTCTCTATTGCACCTTGTTACTGATAATGCCTCGAGCGTGTAGCAATGTTCAAGGCGAGTGCCTTGGAATCAGCTGTGAATTATGCAGTACTAACCAAACAAAGTTGCTAAGGATGAGACATTGCCATGTTTCTCGTGTGGATTTTTTTTCTTGGCATCTTTTTTTCTTTTAGCCTTCACTATGTCAAATACTTAGTCCCCTGCGAAGAAGACAAATGTCCCAAAGCGGATTGGGAACGAGATGCGGGAGCCTAGGGGATGTGGGATGGTGGGTGGAGATTTGCCAGAGGGAGGGTGGTGAGGGGAATAGATGGCTTGGGGACCGATGTCTGGCTGACTCACAGGGCTGCCGTGGCAGACGGAGAGCCAGATGCTGTCTGCAGCTGGCAAGTTGGGGGTTTGCCCAAATAACGCTGTCTTCTCTCCACTCACGGAGCACCCAGGGTGCAAGACTGGGTGCTCACGGGTTGAGAGAGGTAGCATCTCCTAAGAGAGCACATGTGACAGGGTCGCTTTCTCCATCTTCTGCTATGGTTTACAGAGTCCACACGGACTGTTTCCAGATTGCTGAAAATAACGATCAGACAGGATAATGTTGCTTTAGACGGTGGTTCTCAAACCTGCCTGCCCATTAGCATTACTAGAGTTTATTCCCAGAGAGTGTAAAAGCATGTGTGCTGCGAAGCCCCTCCCCCAGCACCTTTAGTGCCCTTCCCAGGGGTAACTGGGGTTGCCAGTTTCTTGGGTGTCTTTCCTGAAATGGTTTATAAATATATATACAATTATGTAAAAAAATACACATATGTATTTCCATTTTCTTTTTACATAAATGGCAGCATACTATATACATGCTATTCTGTACTTTTTTTTTTTTTGCTGAGGAAGATCAGCCCTGAGCTAACATCTGTGCCAGTCCTCCTTTAGTTTGTACGTGGGTCGCTGCCACAGCACGGCTGACAAGTGGTGTAGGTCTGTGCCTGGGATCCGAACCCATGAACTCAGGCTGCTGATGTGGAGCGTGCCAAACTTTAACCACTACACCACGGGCCTGGGGCCTGTACGTTTCTTTTCTTAGAATACCCTGGACATGACTCCACGTCAGTACGTAAGACAGTGGGTCTCAAGCAGGGGTGATTCTGCCCCCCAGGGACATGTGGCACTGTCTGGAGACATTTTTGGTTGTCAGAACTGGGGAGGGGACAGTGCTGCTGTCATCCAGTGCATAGGCTCTAGGGATGCTGCTAAACATCCTACAATGCCCAGGACAGCCCCCACAACAAAGAATGATCCAGCCCCAAACGTCAGCAGTGCCAAGGCTGAGGAACCCTGGTCTACGATACAGATGTGTGATTTGTTCAAGTCTGTCCCCCACTGGTGGACAGGCAGCTTCCTTCCAATCTTACTGTCTAAAACAGCGCTGCACACTTGCACACATGTGCGTCGGTCTGCAGAATAAACTAGAAGCAGAATTGCTGGGTTAGAGGACGTATGCCTTTGTCACGCTGACGGCGCCTGCTGAAATCCCTATCATGAGGGTTCTACCAATTTTTTTTTTTTTTAAGTTTCCAGGACCCATACTAGACAAAGCCCAAATGTCCAGGGATGGGGTCTGAGTGTGCATATTTTTTTAATCTATCCAAGCCAGGGTTGACAACCACTAGCTTAGACTGTGTAAACAGTACAACTGGATCTGCTTCTTCCGATGCTCTCACAACGCAAGCTTTCCTGCTGTGGGGCACTCGTGTGTAGCTGAAGTACCTACCCCAAGACACACTTTTGGTGCCACACTAGGGAGCACTTTGTAAATGAAATGTGAGTGAAATCAGAAAGGTGTTCCTGCAAGGCTGTTTACTATCTTGGGAGACAGTAAAATTCTGCACTGGAAATTTACAAAGGAAAGAACATTTTTCTAAAACTGCTCTAAGATTGACAGCAATTTTCAGATATAGCAGGTTCCCTATGTAACACTGAGAGTCATACTCCCAATACAAAAACCTATAATGAATCTAAGTCTTGATACTAAATCAGACATTTATTTTGCATGAAACATCGTCAATTTTAAGAACCTGAACTTTCAAAGATATAGCCATTGATAAAACAAAAGTGCTAAGTGTCACTTTTTTGAAAACCATGTGAACAGTATGGTACTCCTCCAAAGGCCTCAGAAGTTAGGTCACTGTATCCAGCTTTCAAACAAACCAGATGCTGGATGATCAAGAGAGAAAGACAAATCAATCCATCAGAACCAGATACAAACCTTCCACTGATTTCTCTTCATCTTCATTTCCCTGTCATTCTTTTGAGCTTTATCTTTTTAAAGCACTGGAAGATTCCATAGACCATAGATAGCCCCGTAGCCCTGCAACTTTGGTTTTTCATTTTAAATGCCAGCCTCCCCACCAAAAAAGGAAAGAAACAAGGCAGTCAGCATTTGGATCCAGAATGGAGTTACATTTGTTCAAGAGTGCTGGTCACTGAGGAGGATCACTGCTCAGGCCGGCTTTGGTATTGAGTCTCTGGACATTCTCCTTGGATTCACTTTTTTATCCCATTTTTATTTCAATTCAGCAGACCCTTGCATTATGAAGATGGAAAAAATACAACTTATTCTGGCCAGATTCGGGTCCCCAGGAGTCTGAGAGCAACGCAAATGATTTTTGGTCGTCACCTCTTTTTGCCAAGCCCTCAAAATGGTCATTTCCAAGATGGGAGAAAATCAAATTCTTAAATTCTCTACTGCCGAATTAAATGAGAATGGTGGCTCCTTACACATGCCCTTCCATACAGATCCCAGCGAGTACAACATTGTTTCTCAAGCTTATTAAATAACGTGTCCATTGAACTATAAGATGAAGAGAAACTCACAAGGTTCAGCTTGAACCTGGGTTACAGATTAGAAAGAAAATTTACTCGAAACCCCATTATCACCACCAAGTTTTATTCAAGCATTGGACTTACACCGTGTATAAAAGCCATGCAGATGGCTCTGCGCTCTCACTCAGGCTGGGACTCGAGGAAAGGAGGTGGTGGTGGTGAGCCTCTACTTACTTCTGTCCCTCTTCTCCCTCCCCTTGACCCTGTCATCTCTGAAGTCCCTCTCTCTCTCCCAGTCACTTTCAGGCCACACCCTGGCTGGTTCTCTTTCCTGCCATCTCTTCTCCCGGCCCCGGTCGTGGTCTCGGTCCCTCGTCCTCGAGTCCCAGTGCCTTTCTCGGGATCGAGATCGCTCCCTCTTTTCCCGCTTTCCCTCTCTATACTGCTCGTTTTTAACAACTGGCAAATTAATGGGTTTTCGAAAAGGTCGATCCCGCCCCCCAAATCGCAGTTGCCCAGACTCCTTTTTCCCCCCCAGACCTCCTCCAAGTCGCCGAGGAATCCACCCTTTGAGAGTCCTTTCCAGTTCATAGTCCACAAATATCTCATGCTGGTCAATAACCAGGCCGTCTGCGTCTCGGTAGGCTTTGATCAGAGAACGCTCCTCTTTGTATTCGATAAAGGCGTAGCCCTTTGAAAAGCCTGTGACCAAGTCCCTCACCAGCCGAAGCCGCCGGATGTCTCCGTAGCGGGAAAATACTTCCTTTAACTTCTCCTCCTTGGTCTGCAAGTTTAGTCTGGCCACAAACAGGGTGAGGAGGGGGTCCCCTGTGACGCCTTTGTTGGGGGCATATCGTGCCAACATTGCCCTCCAGACCGCGCGATCATGTGGTTCTTCATCGGTGCCATCGATGCTGCCAGCTTTAAGCGGGTCATACTCCTTGGCGATGGGCATCCAATCGTTCATGTTCTAGGAAGGATCACAGCAAGTGTTGACATAGCACCTACTATGAGCTCCTCATTTAATCCTTACAACAACCCCATGAAGTAGACACTATGATTCACCCCTTCCGCAAGAGGGAAGGAAGCGATTCCCAGAGGCTGAGGCCTCCCAGCTAGAAAGTGGAGGAGACAGTATTGAAGCCAAGCAGTGGGACTCTGAGATGCTCTTACCCACTCCCCCTCCCAGGAGGCAGCAGAGGACAAATGTGAGTTTGACCCATAACGTGTATCATCCAGCTTAGCCATAGCAGGGCACGTACCAACTATGTTATAAGGTGACCACAAGGATCGAAATCCAAGCTCATGTTTCAGAGACTTTAAAATGGTCCTAGGAAAATCAGCCTGAAAACTACTATGGAAAATGGCATTTTTTAAAAGAATTTCAAACATATACCAACATAGAGAATGGCATAACCCTCCACGAACTCCTCATCTGACTCCAACTGTGACCAACACGTGGCCAGTCTTATTTCATCTGTGCCCCACTCACGTCCCTGCTCCCGGATTACTCTGAAGCAAATTCCAGATATTATATCACTCATCTGTAAACATTTCAGTACATGTCACTAAAACTAAGGACTTTCTTTTAAAACAAAACTACAAGGGAAAATGGTGCTTTGGACATAGCATTTTGCATCTCTCAGTAAACAGGAAGCAAAGCTAAAATGACAGTGACCCAGTAGCAGGCTCTTCGGTTCAAGAGGAATATGGGAGTTCTTCCCAGTTCCCTAGCTGATAATGCACTTATGCCTTGGAGCATGAGAATTGGTTCCAATGGTAATTTTAGCCCAGCAAGCATACTGTGATTGTCATTCATTCTGATAGACGATAATTTTTGTTTTGAAAGAGGGTAGGAAGGTTTAAGTTCAGAGAGGCTGATACATGATAATTGATTCACATGAATCTGCTGGAATAATACAATGCTTGCCAACATCTCAGACTGCTAATGCTCATATGATCACCTCTGTAAAACTTCAGAGCCAATGCTGAAATATGTTAAAAAGCTGGGCTCTGTCATTTATATGGCAATCCTCATTCCTAACGGCATCTTTCCATATTTATTAAAATGATATCTATAAACTTTTCCCCTCTTACTCAGATTTTCCTCAAGGATCTTTTTGCTTTTGTTCTTCTTCAGTTGATGGGTTATGTAGGGGGAGTGACTGTTTATGGGGTGCACTGTGGAATTTTTTTTTCCCAGTATAAAAGCCAAGTGCCTACAGAATAAAATCCAAAGTCAATGGCACTGCACTCGAGACCTCTGACCTCAGTTAGCCTCTCACCATATCCCACTGCAAAACCTATTCTACCCAGGATTGCCCCTCATTCCTTGAATGCGCCCTAATTCCCCAGCTTCATGTCTCTCCCGGTGCAGTTTTCTCTGCTGGAAATATTCTCTTCCTTTCTGCCTCCCACATCTCCACTTCTGGAAATTCTACTGGTCCTTTCAAGCCCAGCTTCCAACCTCTTCCCCATGAAGCAAACTCATCTCTCCCACAGCTCACGGTACCTCTTCTGTCTTACTGATCACGTCTTGCCCAACACAGTAAACACTCTTCAATCTAGTGTCTGCCTTAGTTTACCTCCAGATTCTAGAAACTTCCTGATAAATGCTGAGGAACTGAACCAACTCCCATCAAAATTCACTGGACTTTTTTTGGTCCAAATCAGACAAAAAAGACCACTTCATTGAGAACTGAGAAGCAGGACAACATTACACTGTCTGCCACCAAACTATAAAAGGAGGGCATATATGTCTGTCATCATTAACAAGCAACTTTGGGGAAGATGCCTCTCTGGTATCCTTATCAGTAAAAGGATGATAAACAGCTGGAGTGAGGAGACGAGAGAGAGACAGTCAGTTTTGGTCCAGCCTCTAATACACTTGGTGTCTTTTCTCTCTTGTGGTTGGAATTTCTCCATGTGAAAAAAAATGAGAGAGCACTGTGTTGTTGGACTCTCTCCTGCCTCTAGTATTCTCTATATCGATTCCACTCTACTGGCCCTAAAATTCTTAGATTCTAATCTTACTCCCTACCAGGTTGCAGGAAAAAACCAAGGACCATAATAACTATAGTGAACTTGTATTGAACACTTAGGAGGTCTAGGCCCTGTGCTAAGCAGCTAACTCCCCTCACCTCTCAACACTAGCAGGATGTAGGTTTTACTACTATTGCCATTTCAGATGAGGAAGGTGAGACACAAAAAGGTGGTGTTTTGCCCCAAATCACAAAGCTAAGAAGTAGCCCAGCCAGGGAGTTAGAATCAAGGGCTTTTTCTACTCCTACTCCAGAACCTGAGCTCTTAAATATTTCCTTAAATGGCTGTCATAAAATCTAAAGCTTTGGAGATAGGGATAGAAAAAAAGCCACCAGGATTCCGAGTGTTTGAGGCTGAGACCCCCCAAGTGGGAAAGGATCCCTTCCCAGATCAACAGGAAAAGGTCACAGATTCACCAGTTAAAACTGACATTACTACTACACAGTCAGAGCTCCTGTTCAAAGCTTTAAGAGTTTTTCAAATTAAAATCTGAAGAGAATTACAAAGGGATAAGCACGGATTTTCTGTTATCTCCCTCATCGGTATACTTCTATCAATACTAAATGCCGAGAGAACAGCAGGCTTCACGGCTTCTCATTAATCTTTCCAGGTGTATTTCCTCCGCTGCAGCATTACGTTGAGATTTCCTACAATTTCTTTGGATTTTTCAGATTCATGTCATTATTTCAAAAACGGGGATGAGATGTGAGAGATGAATGGTGGGGGGTGGAGGGGGGGGGGCATTTCACCACCAAAGACAAAAGTGTGGAAAGTGAAAAGGAGCACTGGATCAGGAGTCAGAATACCAGGTTTAAGACCTGGTTCTATCTTGGGCAAAATTTAAATCATCTGTAATATGTAGCCAAATGCCACGGCACTAGGTTTTCGTGAAAATTAGATAAGACGGTGTATATGAAAGTGCTTTATAATTATAAATTATTATAGAAATAAAACTTGTTATTAAACAAAGCACGCCTCTCCTTACTGAGTCTGCAGTTAAGACATTCCCGCGCTTCGCACCCAAGAGGGAAACAAACTGAAGGCGGGACCCGCAGAGCGTTCCGAGCATGCGCAGTGGCGCCGTGGCCCCTAAGGCGGAAGTCTCAGTGGAAAGCCTATATTCCCAGTGCTCCGGCAGCGCCTTCGCTTCGGGCGTTGGCCCTGGAGGCTGGCTCCCCCTGCCCCTCACCCTCTGGGTGGCCGCAGACCAGAAGGGGCCATCCTTCCAACCCAGCTCTCGCCCCCGCTCCCCGCAACACAACCCCAAAAGGTCTCCCCCTTTGCCAGGTTTCAACATGGCGGCTCATACACGAGCAGACACGGCGTCCGGGCCGAATTCCCTCATCCTTCTCGCCAGGGTGGACTCTGCTCCCGCCAAGCCGCCCCCACTAACCTCAGCAAGGCTCGGCCTTCCTTTCCCACGACGACTGGCGCCGAGCTCCAAGCGACGTATGATTCTTCCTGCTTGCCTCAGCGGACCTTTATGTTGGAAGAAGCAGATTCGTCACGGGCGCTGTTTTCGATTTTGTTTTTATTCTAAGAAATTTAGTCACATGCATTGAGCATCAAGAGCATATCCTCTCCGAAAAGAATGAAGTTTCCGTTTTTCTAATTTTTTTCACGAGGATAAAAACGGCTAAATTGAACAATTGAGTAGAAAGACTGTCGAATGTGCAGTTAGTTGTCTGGGAGCAGCTGAATTTCTCGCAGTAGAGAAGGGATCTTTCAACGGGGTGGCCTTTTAGTGCTTAGACTCGCTGCGAGAATGTGATTGTATTATGGTTTTTCCCGGAGAAAATGCCTGCGCCGGTTCACGTGAAATTTTGTACGTACGTTTTCCCAACCCCTAGCTTTAACAAATTTGCTTTCCACTAAAGCAAAATCGCGTGGAAGCTTGTTAAAATGCCGTTTCCTGGGCCCCTCCGGGGTCGTTGAAGTCAGAACCTCTGGAACTTTGCTTTTTTTTTTTTTTTTTTAGATTTTATTTATTTATTTTTCCCCCCAAAGCCCCAGTAGATAGTTGTATGTCATAGCTGCACATCTTTCTAGTTGCTGTATGTGGGACGCGGCCCCAGCATGGCCGGAGAAGTGGTGCGCGCCCGGGATCCGAACCCGGGCCGCCAGCAGCGGAGCGCGTGCACTCAACCACTAAGCCACAGGGCCGGCCCCTGGAACTTTGCTTTTTACTTTTTTTAATTCATGTCATAATAGTTTATAACATTGTGAAATTTTTGTTGTACATTGTTGTCAGTCGCCATATAAATGCGTCCCTTCACCCCCTGTGCCCACCCCTCAACCTCCTTCCCCCTGCTAACCACCAAACTGTTCCCTCTGTCCCTGTGTTAGTTTATCTTCCACATATGAATGAAATTATGCAGTGTTTGTCTTTCTCTGTCTGGCTTATTTCTACATAATACCCTCCATGTCCATCCGTGTTGTTGCAAATGGGATGATTTTGTCTTTTTTCATGGCTGAGTAGTATTCCAGTGTGTGTGTGTGTACACCACATCTTCTTTATCCAGTCATCAGTGGAGGGACACTTTGGTTGCTTCTACTTCTTGGCTATAATGAATAATGCTGCAATGAACATAGGGGTGCATAAGCCTCTTTGGATGGTTGATTTCAGGTTCTTTGGACAAATACCCAGAAGTGGGATAGCTGGGTCGTAAGGTATTTCTATTTTTTTTTAAGTAAGCGTTTATTTTTATGCTCACTTGCCTGCATGTCAACTGTTGTTTATTTTATTTTATTTTATTTTATTTTATTTTATTTTGAGGAAGACTGGTGTTGAGCTAACATCTGTTGCCAATCTTCCTCCTCTTTTCCTAATTTCTCCCCAAAGCCCCAGTAGATAGTTGTATGTCATAGTTGTACATCCTTCTAGTTGCTCTATAGGGACACCGCCTCAGCATGGCTTGATGGGTGGTGCGTAGGTCCACACACAGGATCTGAACCAGTGAACCCCAGGCCGCCAAAGCGAAGCACGCGAACTTAACTGCTATGACATGGGGGCTGCCCTAAGGTATTTCTATTTTTAATTTTTTGAGGAATCTCCATACTGTTTTCCATAGTGGCTGCACCAGTTTGCATTCCCACCAGCGGTGAATGAGGGTTCCCTTTTTTCCACAACCTCTTTAACATTTGTTATTTTTTGTCTTAGTGATTATAGCCATTCTAACGGGTGTGAGGTGATATTTTAGTGTAGTTTTGACTTGCATTTCCCTGATGACTATTGATGTTGAACATCTTTTCATGTGCCCACTGGCCATCTCTGTATCTTCTTTGGAGAAGTGTCTGTTCATTTCCTCTGCCCATTTTTTGCTCGGGTTGTCTGTTTTTTTGTTGTTCAGTTGTGTGAGTTCTTTATATATTATGGAGATTAACCCCTTGTCAGATCTATGATTTGCAAATATTTTCTCCCAGCTGGTGGGTTGTCTTTTCATTTTGATCCTGGTGTCATTTGCCTTGCAGAAGCTCCTTAATCTGATGAAGTCCCACTTGTTTATTTTTTCTTTTGTTTCCCTTGCCCGAGTAGACATGGAATTCAAAAAGATCCCTCTATGACCGACGTCAAAGAGTGTACTGCCTACATATTCTTCCAGGAGTTTTATAGTTTCAGGTCTTATCTTCAAGTCTTTGATCCATTTTGAGTTAATTTTTGTGTATGGCGAAAGAAAAAGGGTCTATTTTCATTCTTTTGCATGTGGCTGTCCAGTTTTCCCAGTTTATTGAAGAGACTTTCCGTTCTCCATTGTATGTTCTTAGCTCTTTTGTCAAAGATTAGCTGTCCGTAGATGTGTGGTTTTATTTCTGGGCTTTTCATTCTGTTCCATTGATCTGTGTGTCTGTTTTTGTGCCAGTACCACGCTGTTTTAATTATTATAGCTTTGTAGTATATTTTGAAGTCAGAGATTGTGATGCCTCCAGCTTTGTTCTTTTTCTCAGGATTGCTTTAGCTATTCGGGGTCTTTTGTTGCCCCATATGAATTTTAGTATTCCTTGTTCTATTTCCGTGAAGAATGTCATTGGGATTGCATTGAATCTGTAGATTGCTTTAGGTAGTATGGACATTTTAACTATGTCTATTCTTCCAGTCCATGTGCATGGGATGTCTTTCCATTTCTTTATGTCATCATCTATTTCTTTCAATAATGTCTTATAGTTTTCATTGTATAGGTCTTTCACTTCCTTGATTAAATTTGTTCCTAGGTATTTTATTCTTTTTGTTGCAATTGTGAATGGGATTGTATTCTTGATGGAACTTTGCATTTTTTGCAAGTCCCCAAATGATTCTTTAAGCACACTGAAGGACCGCTGCCTTTCAAGTCGCAATTAAGAAGCCCAGATTTAAATCCTGGGCGTGGGAGGGAGACAGGAGGACCACGTGGTCAATAAATATTTGTAGAATGGATAGATGTATGCGTTCAGATTATGTTGTTTCTTTTTTGATAGGTCAATATATTCGGGGAGATTATGACTTGATTGTGTTATAACTTGAAATTTCTTGATACAGTCGTGTTTTCTTAAATTTGATGACATTCTTCAGCCACTCGTTTTCTGATCAGTCCTTACAAGTGGGTGATTTCTGCAGGCAACTGATCTCGTTTTGATTTTAATCTTATTCTTAGAAGATAAGCTTATCTCTAATTACTAAAGAGGTATTACTGTTATCTAGTCTTTATTGTATCTTTATTATTAGATAAAACATAGGTTCTGAATATCTATAGCTTTATTTATAGTACATTTTCATAAAATATATTAATAAAAATGTATTATTGAGTAAAAAGTGAGCAATATCTATAGTTTAAAATTTTATATTTAAAAATATGTGTGTGTGGTATACACATGCAATGGAATACTATTTAGCCTTAAAACGGGAGGAATGCTGATAATTGCAAAAACATGGATGAAGCTGGAAGACATTATGCTAAGTGAAATAAGCCACACACAAAAGGACAAATGTTGCATGATTCCATTTATGTGAGGGACCTAGAATAGTCAAATTTATAGATACAGAAAGTAGAATGGTGGTGGTCCGGGGCTGGGGGGCAGGGAGAGTTATTGTTTAATGGGTACAGGGGTTTAATTTGGGATGATGAAGAAGTTCTGGAGATGAATGGTGATGGTTATACAGCATTGTGAATGTACTTAATGCCAATGCACTATACGCTTAAGAATAGTTAAAATGGGAAATTATATGTTATATATATTTTACCACAATAAAAAAAAGCTTTGTTAAGTATATGTATGCACCCCAGTAGCAACGAGCACAACCTAGCACCTAGATCTTGGTTTCTAATGTCATTCTCCAATAAAAGTAACCAGTGCTCCTTGGAGAAATGGCTGATTCTAAGAAAAACGCAAGATGAACTGGGAGTAACTTGCAGTGCCAGAATGTAAGGAAGTGCTAAAAACAAACAGAAATACCCACCAATGATGATGATGTCAAAGAGACACAGGAGCCAACTGAAAGGCTCCCCGTGGCCAAAGGGGAACAAAATAGTGTCAGATTATAACCCAAATATAAAATAAACATCCATGAGTCTATACTGATATAAATAAACGATTAAATAAGTAAACTGGGAAGAGACAAACCTCCCGTGCATAATTCCAAATAATTCATGTAGATAACTCCTCTCTCAAAAAGGAGGAATGTAACTCTCCACCCCTTAAGTGTGGGCTGGACGTAGTGATTTCCTTCCAAAGAATACAGTGTGGAAAACGGGGGAAGGAGGAGGAACTTTCCGGTGGAGAAACCTGCCACACTCCCTTAGCCAGGTGATCAAAGTCAACATCAACAGTGTAAGTCATGTTAATAGTAGGTACCTTGGATGTGATGTGATGAAAATGGTGCTTTACCTCTGTGGTCTTCGTCCCCAAAATCCATCACCCCAGTCGAATCATGAGAAAAACATGAGACTAATCCCAAGAAAAAATTCTACAAAATACCTGACCAGTACTCCTCAAAACTGTCAAGGTGATGAAAAACAAGGAAAGTAAGAAACTGTCACAGCCAAGAGGAGCCTAAGGAGACATGGCAACTAAATGTAATGTGGTGTCCTGGAAAAGAAAAAGGATATTAGGAAAAAACTGAGGAAATCTGAACAAAGTATGGACTTTAGTTAGTAATGTATCAATATTGATTAATTAATTGTAACAAATATACCATACTAATGTAAGATGTTAATAATAGGGGAAACTGGGTATATGTACTATATTCCCAATTTCTGTACTAGCTTCCCAATTTTTCTGTAAATCTAAAATTAAAAGTTTGTTAAAAATATATGTGTGTGTTTAGAAATAAAAAAGAAGAAGATACTGCTACATTCAAAAACGTGGTTGAGTCTCAGATATAATGATGAGCAAAGAAGCTGGATTCAAAAGAGTATACACTGTATGTTTCCAATTGTATGAAGTTCTAGGATAGGCAAAACTAACCTATGATGATAAAGGTCAGAATAGGGGTTTCCTCTGGAAGAGGGCATTATTGTTTGGGAAAAGGCATGAGGGAGCCTCCTGAGGTT